TGGAAGACAATCTTTTGGCTTCGCTAAGGTAGGATAGGTTCTTGTGATCCGTAAAAATGAGGATAGGATCCTTAGTTCCTTCTAACAAATGTCTCCACTCTTTAAGTGCTAAAATAATAGCAAGGAGTTCGCGATTACCCACATCATAATTTTTCTCTGCTTTGGACATTTGTTTAGAAAAGAAGCCGCATGGATGCAATGGCTTCTCAGGCGACTCTCTTTGGGATAAGACAGCACCTACCCCAATATCCGAAGCATCAACTTCAAGAATATAGGGCAGTGAGGGGACAGGATGCTGTAAAATAGGTGCAGAGGCGAACGTAGTTTTAAGAAATTCAAAAGCCTGAAGTGCCTCGGTAGACCAAACACGAGTATTGCCATCCTTTTTAGTCATACGGGTAATAGGTGCTACAATGGACGAGAAACCTTTGATAAAACGTCTATAATAATTGGAGAACCCAAGAAAACGCTGAATAGCTTTCAGACCTTGCGGTAGAGGCCATTCTATTACAGCAGCTAGCTTCTGGGGATCCATACGAAAACCTTTAGCGGAAATCAAATACCCCAAGAACTGGACTTCGGTTTGGTCAAACAGACATTTTTCTAGCTTGCAATAAAGACCATTAGCAAGAAGGGTCTTCAAAACTGTCGTAACATGTCTGTGATGAGTGTGTATATCTGTAGAATATATTAAAATGTCGTCCAAGTATACGATAACAAATGTGTGAATAAAATCTCTCAAGACATCATTAATAAATTCTTGGAATACTGCTGGGGCATTGCAAAGCCCAAATGGCATAACAGTGTATTCGTAATGACCGGATCTAGTGTTGAATGCAGTCTTCCATTCGTGATTTTCCTTTATACGTATCAAATTGTATGCACTCCTAAGGTCTAATTTAGTGAACACAGTGGCATGTTTCAGCCTGTCAAATAATTCTGTAATCAAAGGTATAGGGTATGCATTTTTGATAGTGATTTTGTTTAGACCTCTATAATCTATACACGGTCTTAAATCACCTTCTTTCTTCGATACAAAGAAGAACCCTGCTCCAGCTGGAGAAGAGGATCTCCTAATAAACCCTTTTTCTAGTGATTCCTTGATGTACTCCTCCATGACACGGTTTTCTTGAACCGATAAGGGGTACACCCTGCCCTTTGGAGGTATAGTGCCAGGCAACAAGTCAATAGCGCAATCATAGGGTCTGTGAGGCGGTAATTTCTCAGCCTCCCTTTTATCGAAAACAGTCTTTAGAGATAAGTACTGAGGGGGTATAACCGTAGACAAAGGAGGACTGGTAGGTACCTCAATAGAATTCAAAGGTGTGACTTCAAACGTACAAGACTCGTGGCAGGCCTCACTCCATGATTTTATTTGCCCTGTCTCCCAGTCAAAAATGGGATTGTGAGCACGTAACCATGGATACCCTAATACTAACTGTGAAGAGGGAGAGGTGATGACCTGGAATCGAATGGTTTCATAGTGTAAAACCCCTGTGTACATGTGTAATGGTACAGTCTCATGAGTAACAACTGGAGAACTTAATGGTCTACCATCTATGGCCTCAACGGCCAAGGGTATCTCCTTCTCTCTGATGGGAATGTTGTTTCTCTTTATAAAGCCAGAGTCTATAAAATTTTCAGCTGCCCCAGAGTCAACCAGAGCATATATGTTGTCAACTATACAAATCTCTCCCATATATAAAGAAACCGGGAGAAGCAAGCGGTTAGGAGGCAATTTAGGAGACTTAGATATCACACCCAAGGCCAGTCCCCTATAAGGTCTTAGGTGCGAGAGTTTTCCGGGAGTAAAGGACATTCCTTTACCATATGGTCTCTCCTACCACAGTATAGGCAGAGTCCCTCCCTTCTCCTATGTAATTTCTCAGTATCAGAGAGTTTGGCAACCCCTAATTGCATAGGTTCCTCCTCAGACACTTTAACACTCCATGGTATATTAACTCTGGGGTTAATGGGTGTAACAAAACGTCTATTCCTGTTCTTGGTATAGAGCCTGTCACGAATTCTATTATCAATATCAATGAGGTAATCGATAAGGTCCTCTAAGGCAATAGGAAGCTCCTTAGCTGCTACCTCATCCAATATCGTATCTGACAAACCTTCCATAAAGGCAGTAGTTAACCCATTGTTGGTCCAATCTACCTGCGAAGCAAGAGTGCGAAACTGAATAGCATAATCAGCCACAGACCTAGAACCCTGTTTAATTCTCATTAATGCTCTCGCGGCATTCTTTGACCTTTTCATTGTGTCAAAAGTTCTACGAAAAGCCGTAAGAAAACTGTTGAAATCATGTACCATAGGTCCATTAGCTTCCCAAATAGGATTTGCCCACTCAAGTGCCTTATCGGTAAGTTGGTGCATAAAGAACCCAACCTTAGACCTCTCTGTGGGAAATGAACGTGGATACATTTTGAAGTGAAATTCAATCTGATTAATAAACCCTCTGCAAGTCTTAGAGTCCCCTCCATACCTAGGAGGAGGTGTTAAATGGGCCGAAGTATTAGGCAAAGTAGATACTTCAGGGAGAAGGGGCGTAGGAGGGTTAGGTGTAGTTGCTGGAACGGTTCTAGCTAGGAGCGTCTGGAGAGCCTGAGCTATTTGATCCATACGGTGATCCTGCTCTACAAATCTTGCCTCATGGGACGCCATCTGTTGAGCTAAATCTGCGGGGTCCATGGCCCTATCGTAATGTAACGAGAATATACCCCTACACGCAGGATCCAGCTAAACAGAGGCAAATACAGAGGAGAGATACGTCTACCGGACCTTAGAATGGCCGGACTCGACGTATATGAGAGGAGACAGAGCCAGGAACAAACCGAGGTCAAGGGCACAGAGAGACAGCGTAAACTAGGACAAGCCGGGGTCTGGTACACGGAAAACAGCAAGCCGGCAAACAGTACAGATAAGGATAAAGCGAAAACGAAGTCAGAATACGAAGCCAAAGTCAATACGAGAAAACACAACTGAACACCACAAGCACTAAAGGGAACTGAAACAGAAACCACGATAGGGCAACGAGCTAAGGGAAAAAGGTAAGTTTAAATAGCTTTAAAACGAAAGTGATTGGCTCCTGTCACTTCCACACCCCCTATAGGTAATTGTACAGGGAGTGTGGTATGACAGGAGCCAATGGGAGCCTTTTGGCAATTAGGCTCCCACTGTCTCTTTAAGAGCGCGCCCGAGACTCGCGGCGCGCTCTTAGTTTCAGGCGGGACACGTGACCGCCTCACGCGGTCACTGCCCGCCTTCCATCCAAAGCAGTTGGATGAGCCGCGCGCGGCTCGTGCAGCCGCAGGACCGCGCGCGGCTTGAAGAGAGGACCGCGACCGGCCCCCGGTTAAGGTAAGTAACGCTACACTAAGGACCGGTAATACGTTACTTATTTGTCATCCGTGCTGTACAGTTCTACGTGCTGGATCAAACAGTAATCCTGACAGTCCCAGAGCAGAACCCTGAGGGACACCAAATGCCAGCTCTGTTTACCTTGAAAATTTACCATGACAAATCTCTGTACTCTATGTTTAAACAAATGTTCTACCCAAGAACAAGAATTTTCATCTAGACCAATTTGTTTAAGTCTGAACACTAATCTAGAGTGTGGAACTGTATCAAGCGCCTTGGCAAAATTCAAAAAGATCACATCCACTGCACACCCTGATCTATACTTCTACTTACTATGTGTGTATTATTTGATAATTCATCCTCCATGAAAATATTTATTTATGCCATAAACTGTTTAAGAAATCACTTCCCACATCTTGCAAAACTTTGAATCTGAATAGAAATTCTATTGTGTTATATACAGTCAGTGTGACCAAAACCACTTTGTTTAAAAACACTCTGTGTTTGGTTACAAACTGTTCAAAATTCCGAACTCCAAGCGGACATGTAGCTGAATGGACGAGCTTGTTCATTTTGATTCATTATTCTGAATTCCATCTGTGGCTCAAAAAAACCCCTAAATGATTGATGGGAAAAAATATGGTTAATGGCGAGAAACAGGGACTAAGTATTGATTATATTCACAGATGAAGTGAGAAGTGACCAATAGATATAAAAAAGGAGGAGCAGGTAAAGAATATGTATAACATAATATATATATATTGTGACAGAAAGCAAGGAATTGTGCTGGAAGGAACCTATATACCTCCCCAGATTTTGCAAGGTTCTTACTTTGTGTAATTAGCCCCAGGGAAATGTGTTATGTTCTAATGAATGTTGCACTTTAAATATGTGTATATTTGGGCCCTGGGGTGGAGCACCTGGAGAGTAGGGTGGGCCAGTGCTCCACTCCACATTTTGGAAGTTGCTTGGTGAGAAGTCCAGTTCTGGAGTTTGAATCCTAATCTAACTCACCTGAAAAGGATTGTCAATTGCCAGTGCTATTAAGTACTCCCCTGCCAAGGAAGAAGGGAGATTGTGTTTGGTTTCTGTGAGTGGAAACAGAGAGCTGAAAACCCTGAAGCAGTAAGGCTGTTTATGTTTATGTTTATGTTGGGAAATGGACAAGCCATCCAACCCAGTTAGCTGATTATTTTGTTTAGTTAGTGCTCAGAAGAGCAAGGCTTTTGTTTGATATATTTTTGTTACCTTTATACTTTACTGTGCATTTATTTTGGAACCTCAATAAAAGAGCAAGTCAGTTCACCTCATCCAGCGTGTGAAGTGTCTCTAAAGCCTGAAAAGACTGTGTGTAACACCCCAATCCCAGGACAAGGTACCAAGGGAAAGGAGTACTTTTGTCACAATATATATATATATATATATATATATATATATATATATATAAAACTACACACATTTATATAGATAAAAAATATATCATAGATAAATATAGATTTTTTTACGGTTCCTCCTATTTTCCCTCTTTTGGTTACTCACATCATCTGTGAACCAAATGGCAGGAAAATGCTCTCATCAGTCCACAGGCACAAGCTAGCCTGCTACCCTCAACTGCCAGAAGTAAACCCCCATCAATGAGCCCTGGCACGACACTTGCCTTCTGGCACACAACACTGGAGTTCGGCACCAGCTCCAGGGCAGGCCCGAAACTGGCGGAAGAGAAGGGGGCACAACAAAACAGTACTCGCAACAAAATGGACATCACTGAAGGCAAAAAGACAAAAACTTACCCCTCAGATATGCAGGAGAGCCAGTCTCCCAAACGAAGAGCCGCACCCCACTCCTGCAGGACCGCACATCTCCTCACAGCCAGCACAGACAACGCCGCATGTCACGTCAGCTGGTCCATGGTAGGGCCTCGCAAAGCCCTCTGAGGGTGGCAGCACAGCGGAAAACTGAGCAGACACACCGCTCCAATACCTCGCCGCCACCTCACCAGCAATACATTCAGAAGCAACGGACTATTCTTTTTAGCCGCAATGTGATGCAGGACAAAGAGTCCCAGAGCATATATGGGACATTTGTTGCTGGACAGTACTACTTGGAAGCAGAGCGCCCAGCCAAGGCATCGGCTGACCCTCCAACTACAGGAGCTAGCTGTCAATTAAGCTAAGTCTGACAGGGACTTTAACCCGAGATGTAATAGACCCAGTGGCACACAAATGATGACCGTTTTATTATCTGGTTTAACTTTGCTTTTATAATATTGTGTGTATCTAAGCTTGTATTACTCAACTTAGTCCACCACCCACATTAAGCTGCCTATGATAAGTATTGTATAATCTAGAGGCACTCATTAAGCACGACCCACACCCTAGTCTCTCCCGCCACTGCTCCACGTGGAGGCATTAACATCACTTTGGCCAAACTAATAATACTCGAGGGCTCAGTGCCCTTACTACAAACTACAGTGGGCTAAGCATTAAGGCAAAGTAGAACTGCCACATCATTTTAAGTTGCCTCCCATACAATGGCACAAACACCATTATATTGCAAAAAGTGAGGCAGAGAAAACCATTGAAATGGGCAGTGTCATTCTGAGCAATGTCCCTACCTGCATTATAATAAGTCTAAGCCTGCTCATATACAAACGTTAACTAACTAGATCGACCAGCATGTATTCTAAATGTTGAACTATAACTTACATTACCACAGGCAGTAAGAAAAGCTAGAATCTTATGACTATGTTTTGTCTTTCCACTGTTTCTTCATTCTATCACTATAAACCAAAATTTGTGCTGTATATTTGTAATGCCATGCCTATAATGCTTGCAGCCATTCTGCTTGCGACTGATATCGTGACTGAGTAAGTCTACTGTTCTTCCATGCACAACAAAAAATAAAGAATATAAAATATATACATTATATTTGTATACATTTCTGCTCTTTTTGTTTGTCTGATTTTTTTTCCAGGATCTTTTTTCATTAACCACTATTTGACAGAAATTCATTCTATCAACCACTATCCTGACATTTTTTTTTTCCGTCAAAAGTGATTAGCAGAAAATATTTCTGCTGCACACAAGTATAATGACATTTAAATAAATTTAACATCATAACAATGTTACCAGAATATAATCAAATATACATTTAGACATAATGATCACATATTTAATAAGTACAGTTACTCCAAGCATCTGTACTATTAAGGACTTTGCAGATTGCTGGAGCAGCTATCACACAATCACCCTAGCATGCTTGGAGCCATTTTTATCTTTCATCCTTCTGACTGTTAGAATGCTGTTCTGACATACAAACATTGTGTAGTGTGTTGAAAGAGGGAAGGGAACCATTGTTTGAAATCACTCTTTTGAGGTGCAGAGTAGCAGAATAAAGTCAGAGCAGAGAAAACAGTTCTGAGGCAAAGGAAGTCGTTAGCGTTGCTTTATTGATTACATTTGTTTTGACTTGCTTACAAATTATATGTTGCTGGGAGAGACAGGGTTAATCTGAGGGAGTACTAATCTCAGCAAATTAAAATTAAATGCACAATTAATAAAACAAACTCCCTTCAATGGGAATATACCAAAAATAAAATCCATCTGAAATGCAGTTTCTGCTCAGCAGCAGATAATCTCCAAGATTATGTGTGTGGGAAAAACAGAAGGGTGAGAAAAAAAAAAAGCAAAATATGTATGTGAAAGCATTTAATTAAAAATTATATTATGGGATAGATGTGTCAGTAGTATCCATGCAGCACTTAACAAATGTTCAGTAACTTGTGTTATACATCAGAGAGTATGCATTAGGAATGTCCAGCAATCATTGGCCTGTTAATCTTTCGAATAATGTAAAGCACCTGAACTGGAAATGCAACTACAGACAAATTATATTGATATGTACTAATGTCAGGACAGTGAGGAGCCAGTTACATGGGCTTACTATAGATCGGGAAAAAAGGCCTTTTGAATGAAATATTGGCTACATATGGTGATATTTATTGGTGAATCGAATTCCAACTGCAGCATCTCTCTAAATCAATTTTGCTATAATATGCTCAGATTCCTGTTGTGCACTAGTTGACAAAACAATCACTTGTGTTACTATTTTTTTTTCACTCAGGGTTATGCACTAAAGTTTGAATTCAAATTTAAGGTTAAAGTAGATGAACCAGAAGCATAACTGACTTTATCCAGTTTCGCTACGTTGTCCTCAAGATTAAAATTCACTTTGAATTCTAACCTTAGTGACCCCATTTGATTCAATGAAACTGGGTCCACACATCACGTCCTAATTGATGCTCAGTAATAGTCAGTCAGGGGACGTATGGGGAAAAGGTTTCACAGCAGACGGTACTTACTCATAGCCATTTGTGAAACACTAGAAGGGGCTAGTCAACTCTCTAAAGACGAGGTAGTCAACCTTCAGTACTCCAGATGTTGTGGACTGTATCTCCTCTGATGTTTTGCCAGCATTATGGCTGTAAGAGCATTACTTGAGATTAGTCTTCAACATCTGGCATGCAAAAAGGTTGCCTACCCCTGCTCTACAGGATAAAGATACAGAATGACTTAAGTGACGTATTTTTAGACACAATTTAATCTTTTCTAGATATCTAAAGCTCTTGATTTGGTTAGTAGTCTAATGAACAGCTCTGACAAAATTAGCACTAGCATGAATACAAACAAAATCGTTAAAAGAGCACTATAGTGCCAGGAAATAAACTAGTTTTCCTGGCACTATTGGGTGATTAGGTCCCCCTTCCCTCAGGGCCCCCTTCTTGCTGGGCTGAATGGGTGAAACCCCTTTAGCCACTTACCTTAATCCAGCGCCGGGCTCCCGGCGCTGGTGACCTCTCCTCCCCAAGCTGATGTCAGATCTGAATGAGCATGCGGGGTAAGAGCCATGCGTGCATTCAAACTGCCCATGGGGAAGCATTACTCAATGCTTTCCTATGGACGTCCAGCGTTATCTCAGTGTGATTTTCACTCTGTGTAATTTTCACACTGAGACAGCCACTAGAGGCTGGATTAACCCTCAATGCAAACATAGCATTTTCTCTGAAACTGCTATGTTTACAGCTGCAGGGTTAAAACTAGGGCGACCTGGCACCCTTTATTATTATTATTATTATGATATAAAGAACAGTAAAAAAAAAAAAAAACAGAACAGTATTTGGCAATATATCTTTAACTTCCTATTATTGGTTGGATAGTAGAAGGAACTACCGTCTTAAAGGCTCCTCCTTTTAAACCTTCTTTTACGCCAAGTTTACACAGTACAAAAAACTAAAGGGGTTTTAGATTTTCCTAAATGAATAGAAATGTAATAATAGTGTAATACTGTTAAAACAGAAATAAGTGCTGGAGTCATGGTTACAATCACGGAATATATGGTGATAATGTTCCTCAGTGCCTCATCACAATGCACCACGGGGCAACCCATATACCTCCTTCATGTGTCTTTCTTCACAGGACTACTGAGGAACGCCAGGTGCAAGTGTAAAGTATGTATTCCATAAAATAGTATTTAAAAACAAAGTAGGTCCTAAGAGTTGTGTCCTATATCTTAAGACTTCCTCAGGGATCACATACATAAAAAGCATCAAAGCAATGTAAAAACATGCATTGCTGTATTCATTTGTTATTTTTAATGAAGAATGTTTTTTGCGTTTTTGTATTTATCGTGACAGCCCACCCTTTAAAAAGGCTTGTAGGCACTAAAAATGGCAAATTGTGCATAGCTCCCCAGAAGGTTGTTGGTGACCTCAATTTCATTTACCATAATTTGATGCTATATAAATGTATATTCCAAGAGAACTGGCAACTGTTACTTGAAATGAAGAGATCAATTAATCTGTCTGCATTCCATGCTGCTTTTAACATGTATCTCTAGGTTTCCAATATATATTCAATTTAAAATTTCTACTAACAGTTGGTAGATGAGGAGAAACATTATTTCAGAAGTATTGATTTTTTAAAGAACAGATTTCCAAGACTTAATGAAAAAATGCTAAACTGTGACTAAGTCTGTGTTTCATCCCACAAAACTTCCCATAGCAGATATACTCATGAATATTTCCTGGTGGAATTTAATTTAACACCGTATAACACATTATAAGTTAAAATGCCATGTTATTAGTGGAGCTATGCATGTTTATTTCATGTGTGGGGTAAGAAAATATTCTCACATGGTGGTTGACAAAGTATGTTTTTGAGCTTGCAAATCAACAAAACTCAACAACAGTGCATAGCAACACAAAGCTGCACTAATATATTCTAAGAACTCCCAAATACATGCATTCCTTTCTTCTGTATCTTAACCGGTTTACGTGTGGTGGATTCTATGGCACTGCAAGAAATCGCATACGTATCAGTCAATTTAAGGATTTATTTCAAATTCATGTTAACTCGAATATATTATTAATTATATTTATATTTATATATATCATGCATTTTAAATAACAGGCATCACATAACAATCCCCCTTTCCAAGTGCTGCAGGTACCCTTGGTGCAGATGTACTAATAACGCAGTGAAGACAGTGTGATCCTTGTCTGCAGGTAGCACGGTCCTCTAGGGCAGTGTTTCCCAACCCAGTCCTCAAGGCACACATACCAGTCCAGGATTTAGGGATTACCCAGTTGTGTCTAAGGTGTTTTTACAAAGAAGAAAAAAAACACCTTAGACACAACTGGGTAATCCCTAAATCCTGGACTGGTAGGTGTGCCTTGAGGACTGGGTTGGGAAACACTGCTCTAGGGTAAACAACTGGCACAATCCTTTTATTTGCGTATAAACCAGGCACTTTATTTGTAAGTTCACACAGGAGACAGCAGCAAATGAAAACATAAATATAACACAAACCCCTATAAACAAAAACCTAGCTCATCTGA